TGGTCCTCCTCGACGGCCTGCGATACCGTCGACCACGGTATCCTTCTGGGGAGGCTCTCCGAGTTGGGTATCCAGTGGCTTGGCTCTGGCCTGGTTCTGTTCCTTCTTGGAGGACCGCCCCCAGAGAGTGCAGCTTGGGGAGAGTATTTCGGCCCTGTGGAATCTCAATTGTGGGGTTCCACAAGGGTCGATCATCTCCCCAATGCTGTTTAACATCTATATGAGGCTGCTGGGTGGAGTCATCAGGGGGTGTGGAGCATCCTGTCATCAATATGATGATGACACCCAGCTCTATATTTCCTTTTCACCAACTGCAGGTGATGCCGTCCTGTCCCTCCAGTGCTGCCTGGGGGCCATAGAGCAATGGATGCAGGAGAACGGGCTGAGGCTGAACCCGGACAAGACGAAAGTTCTGAGGGTGGGTGGCCCTGTGGATGGTGGCTTGGGAAACTCCCTCATGTTTGGGGGAGTAGCCCTAGCCGCGAAGAGTGGGGTATGCAGCCTGGGGGTACACCTGGACCTGATGCTCACCATGGAAACGCAGGTGGCGTCGGTAGTCCGCACCGCCTTTTTCCATCTTTGGTGGATTGCCCGGCTGCGACCTTACCTAGACATGGGGGCGCTCACTACCTTAGTATATGCGCTCGTAATTTCTAGATTAGACTACTGTAACGCGCTCTATGTGGGGCTTCCTTTGAAGCTGATGCGGAAACTTCAAGTGGTGCAGAATGCGGCGGCCAGACTCCTTACTGGAGTGAGAAAATACCAACATATCTCTCCTACTCTGGCCATGCTGCACTGGCTGCCCATCCGTTTCTGCATTGACTTCAAAGTGTTAATGCTTACATATAAAACACTAAACGGTATAGGACCTTGATACTTGGCGGAACGCTTACTCCCAACTAATTCTACCTGTGTCACCCGCGTGACCCAGGAGGTGAGGCTGAGGAGCCTGACGCCGAGGGAGGCCCGGAAGGAAAGAACTAGAAACCGGGCCTTCTCGGTGGTGGCTCCTCGTGTCTGGAATAACCTACCTCCGGAGATTCGCGCTGCACCCTTGCTAGGTTCTTTTAAGAACCAACTACAGTGGTGCCTCGCTTAACGAGCGCACCGTATAACGACAAAATCACATAGCGATGCAGTTTCCGCGATCGCCAATGGGCGAAACATAGCGAAGGTCGGTAAGCGTTTCGCTTACCGACCTTCGCTTTGCGACCCGCGGATCAGCTGTTCAGCGGGTCCAAAATGGCCGCCAGAACAGCCGAAATGGCTGCGCGCAGCGTTTTCGCGCCCTCGGTAAGCGAGGGGAGGGCGCAAAAATGGCTGCCGGCTATGGGAAGACTTCGCTAAACGGTGAGTTTTCAGCCGATTTGGAACACATTAAACAATGTTTAATGCGTTCCAATGGCTTTTTACTTTTCGTTTAACGAATTTTTCACATAGCGAAGGTTAATCCGGAACAGATTAACCTGGCTATGTTAACCTCGCTATGCGGGGCACCACTGTAAAAATGTGGATGTATAGGCAGGCCTTCCCTTCCAGTTAATTCCTGTTCTCTTTCCTTTTTTCTTCTTTTTCTCTTTATTTGATTTATTTTGTATTTTTCCCATCTTGCTGAATCATTTAATTAATTAATTATTACAAATTTTTCTTGAACTTGTTATCCTTTATGTTGTAAGCTGCCTAGAGTGGTCGAAATGACTAGATACAGTAAGCGGGGTATAAATACAATAAATAAATAAAAATAAATAAAGAAGGAAAGGCAAGCACTCACGTTTGTGGCTGGGCAGGATCATCACCCAGGGTAACGTTTTCTCCCTGGATTTCAGTAAAGCACCTTTCACAGAAGTGATACCTGTCAGCAAGAAGGCCATATTTGGGTGAACTGGTCCAGCAAATCACACACACAGCCACCCAAGCAATGGGACCGCCAGTCAGAGCAGGGCAGATCCACCACGACGGACGGACGGAAAGAGAGCGTTGTTCAGTGCAGAGAAGGAAAAGGAACAGAGGAGAGGGGGAGGGGGAAGGAGAGAAGAGGGAGGGGGGACAGACAGCACAGACAGAAGTCGTAAGACACACAAACAGCAAGACGACACAGAGCAGCAATGGCGGCGGCAGCAGCACCGAGGCACGAGCAGGGCTCACTTGTAGCCCTCCTCACCTCCTCCCTCTCCTCGGCGGGAAAAGTTGGTTCCGGGTTCCTAGGCTCCCTTGCTCAGCAGTCTCTAACTGCAGCCCTGGTTTAGTAGTTTGGCAGGAAGAATTTAGATCGGATTCTGTATTGTGCCCAGTGTTACCATCAACTGTTGTTTGAAAAAAGGGGCCAGAAATCCATGGTGCTCCAGCTCCAGGCATTCCTTATCACTGGCCACATTGGCTGGTAATAATAGGAACTAGGGTTCAACAACTGGAAGGTTCTCAACGCCACTCAGGAGCCAGTAAGTACCAAGAAGAAGCCCGAAGGTACAATAGCTGTATGACACCTGCTCTAATTAGACCCTTAGTATTTGTTCACACACCCTAAGCAGAGTTTTTACATTATCTGTGTACCAAAACAGTCAAGGTTGAACGTTCGTTACATGTGCTTCATATGTTCTACTATAAGCAAATTTACATTTTAGGTCCATTTTTAACAGGAATGTATTTTGGGGAATTCCTGGCCACCTATTTGGTATTTCACATATATGTACAGTATGTGAAAAATATTGTTTCTGTAGGGTAATTAAACGCAACAAGGTCATACAATGAGTTAAGGCTGAAATGTGCTACACTTCTACCCACCAGGCTGGGAAGCTGTCTGCCCCAAGCCTTTGCTGCTTCAAGGAGAGTCAAGGTGGGAAAAGCAAAGAGAAAGATGCCCAAGCTTGTAGCTTTATCTCTAGGCGACCTGGAAACCAAACTGTGTTATTAAAACACCACTGTACATAAATGTTTGGAAAGAGTATAGACTGAACTACAAACCACCGTGGCCAGCAAACGAAGAAACATATACAGGGATAGGTTTTAAATCCAGAGAAGAAAGGGACAGCGAGCGGCATGCCGGTTTCAATGGCTGGGCCCCAAAGTCATAGAGAGGGAAGCTGTCGCGGCCAATAGCCCCAACCAATCATCAGAAGAGAGGATCCCACCCCTGGGGGGGGGCTGGCCTTGGCTCCCCAACACACGCACGCAGTCCAAAAGCAGCAGAGAATCAAGGGGAGATTTTGAAAGGCTCAAGAAAGCAGCTGCTCCTGGAAGACTCCCAAAGTGGACGTTCTCACTTCAAACAAGTCAGGGGGACCCCTCATTATCCAATACCCGGAGTATCCAGGTTTCAACATGCTGTACAGCCAAGAAGGTCCCAGAAGCAGGGGGAAAAAAAACCTCTTCCGGAACCACCGGAGTTGCCACCCCAGCCTCTGTTTCCCTTGCCGTTGCCTCGGTCCGTGTCAGCTTCATCCTGCTCCAGGCCCACCTTTCCCAACACGGCTTGTTTCTCTTTGAAAATGGACGAGCAGTGGCAAAAAGACCCGACCTTGTTCCGTACCACGGGGTCTGCTATTCCCTCACTGCATGCGTTATGCCTTAGAGAAGTCCAAGACGGGTTTGCCTTTCAGACCTCACATCCATTCCTGGCATCATCATGGAAATGCAACTGAGACTTCTTCATGACGGGGCCGGAAGAGGGGCCACCGCTAGTGTCAAGGGATTCAAACTGCCCTCCCGGACCTCGATTCTGGCTTACCTGTTTTGATAACTGTAGTAGGCGGCATCCCGGGGAATGGTACACAGCTGTTTGCCGTAGCAGCACAAGGTCTGGGGGGAAAACTCGTACTGCAAAAGAGAGAGAAACAGAGAGCCATTCACTTATGCAAGAACTTCTGTGGCAGCCCCAGTCCTTCGGTCCCCCCAGCTTTTACTGATGTTGGCGATTTCTAATATTCTACTGCTTGACACTAATATTTGTGTTTAATTTAATCTCTTTAAAATTAACCATTTGTTGCAAGTTCTACTTGTAAAAGAAGCACAGACAGAATGTTGCTCCCTTTTAGCAAAGCACGTCAGAGCATTCTCCTGGAGCCTTCCCGACTGACACCCTAGAATTGAAAAGAGAGCTCCCCCCAAGGGGTTAATTACACAGCAGGTCCTAGGAGGACGTCATGACAATCCAAAGGCCACACAGAGGCTCACAAATCCAATGTCTAACCATAGGTCTTACAACCTGCTACTGCTTCCTAATTTGGGTTGTCAGACGGCTGGAGGAAACTGACAAGAGCTGGACCTCACTGTTCTAGATGGTTAGTAATGGGCTGGAAGGAACAGTTCTCAGTTCTTATTTTGCCTGTTCCTTGATCTGAGTTTCCTACCACTGGTAAACCAAATGAATATTAGTTTTTAAAATGAAAAAAAAATTGAAATCTATGCACTGATCTTTATGTGGAGAGATTTCAGCCTTCTTTAGCATTAACCATGTGATTTACTAGAAAATTACAATGTTTTCTACATGTGTTTATGTAATACTGTGTAAGTGCATTAAAATGTTTGGTCTCGCAATGTATGCTAAAATGAGTTTAATGACTGCATATAAATACAGGAATGTTCATGCACATGAATGCCCAAGATAGACTCACTCCTGCCAAAAACCCAGAGGTGGCTCACATTTATTTTAAATCAAAGGCCATTTTTGGGGCAGCGAGATTTTGGAAACCTAGAACGTAACGTAGAAAGAACCTCAGCTTGTTCTGCTTTACTCTAATAAAGAGCATGATGGGCCAGCCAGGCACCTCGAACAAAATGGGAGGATAAAACAGTCTCCCTTTAATTTCACAAGAGGAAGGACAGACATCTATGGATTTAACAAAGTCAACATTTTGAATGGTTCCATGAGACCGAACTTGTCGCAACTGTCAGGTTTTTTAAACAGAAGTACGCGCATCTCAATGTTGACAAAATTCTCGTCCCATCTGCCCAGCGGAGTAAATCTAACCCATGTATTTCTTGGCCCTGTACGTGACCCACACCAAGAATCCTACAGGATCCGGAGCATGGGGTAAGGAAACATGTGTTAAAAGTCAGGATGGGAGGGGGAACCACACCCACCTTCCGCCCACAACAGTATCCCAAGGATTGCATCACGGGATCGATTTCTTGCTCAAACACTTCAGCAAGTTTAGTGCAAAATTTATAGACTCTGGATGTCTTGCGGTTATAAAGCCAGGCATTGTTGAACATCAGCCAGACATCATCCACATACTGCCAGGGCTCCTGGTACTGTCCTGTGTCCAGCTTGCGTTTGATGGTGGAAAGGTCCATGGGATTCCTCACAATGTCAAAGTAATCCTTCATGTTAGAAAAAACAAGACAGTCTGTCACCTGGAGCCACCGAGATCTCTGCCACTCCGAATAAACTGGCTGACATCCCCACCCCACCCCCACCCCACCCCCACAATATTCCAGAGGTTCTGGCTGCTGAAAATAAGGTTGACCCCTGAAGGGAGAAAAGAGCTCTCAGACCAACAGAACTCCTTGCCAAAGTGGTGAGCTGGGGCAGAGGAACAGGCCTCGCCTCGAGCCTCCCTTCTGGGCCCAAACAGCTGACATTGATTTTTCAGTGGAGTGGGACCTACTTTGTACAGCTTGGAAAAAATTCATTTTCTGAAGTACAGTATTCGCTGGGAGTTGTAGCATAAAACAGTAACATTTCCAAGCTCTGCTACAATGAGCTCTCCTCATGGCTCCATAGCCAAACACCTTAAAAAACTAATCCTGAAGAGGGAGATTACTTTTTTTCTCTACATAATGAGATACCTGTTCTAAAACACACCTTCCCTGCCCTACAGATGTTTCCAGCCAGAAAGCCCACTGCCTCTCTTGACATCTAGTTCCTGTTGCGCCATGGAGGGAACCAGACAAGGCCCCTAGCAAATTCCATGGGGATCCTGACGCGGTGCAGAAAAGACAGCCAGAGGAAACAACAGAGCGCCCACCTGCCCAGCCACCACTCACCGGAATCCCCAGGAGCTGAGGGTCCACGGGTTGCCTGAAGGGAAGAGACTCTGGGTCCTGACGATACAAGGCCTCCAAAGTGGGCATCAGGGCCTGGCGCAGCTCCTCCGGCTTAAAGACTGCGGAAAGGGTTCAAGCAGGTTAAAAATGCACAGAGCAGTTCCAACGGCAGCCACTTTCTTCTGGAACTCGTTCGTAACCAGTGGCAAGGGCTTCTTGCTCACATGGCTTGCAGAGAGGGAGCAAAACCAATACACGGAGAAGTGAAAATTAGCTGTGACAAGTTTAGCTGCGATAAGTTACCATGAAACCTTCACATTCAGAGGTTCTCGCTAATGGCAACCAGGAGGAATAGTAGATCCATCGTGATTGCCATGTGACCTTTCCAGACACTTGGCTGGCAAATCCGGGAGAGACCAGCAAACCAGGTCAAGTATAGGCATGACTGGCCAAAACACATCCTTCTTTGGCTTGAAAAGGCAGCCGTGGCAGTGTAATAAGCAGCAGGTTAACAAACCCACACCTTAATGAGAACACTTACTCTTTTTCCGCAGCTGAGATGGGGACGTGGACTGGGCCGAGGGGCCATTACTGCCACTATCCTCTTCCTCTTTGACCTCCGGCTTCTTTATTTCCATCTCCATGGGCTCCTGCTTGCTCTCTTCTCCATTTGGCTCCTCTTTGCCTTGTGTAGGTCCCGTCATGTCCTCCTCCAGCTGAAAAGCATAGGAAGATTGGGCAATCATGGCTATTCACCTCCCTTGCAAACAACCAAACTACCCGGGTGTCCAGTCAGGAAAGGAAGGAGGCAGCCAGCTTGTCATTTAAGCCTCTGGCTAACATCCCTACCTCCGATTTCAGCTCCACCTGAGCTTCTCCGCAACCCGAATCAACTTTTTCAGTCTTGCTTTCCTGTATTTGGGCATCGTGCCCAAGTTGCTGGGTACTGGCATCAGCACTGGCAGCAGAGCCTGGGCTAGGCACCCGGTTGTCCACGCTCATTGCTGCTTGGGAGAGCTGGAAAAGAAGAAAAGAAAACCCTAAGCACACAACAGTCACAGAGATCCTGAACGATCGAAGGGAGGTCCAGACCCCTGCCCGGGAAGGCTGCCCCTTGCGTGAGCTGCCTCCCGCCAGGCATGCCTCGGGGCTCCGTGTTGTCCAACTGGCCCAGACATCACAGGGCCCCGGTGTGCTTGGGAACTCTCAGACATGCTGCTGATCTTACTGTCATGTGCGAATTTTGCAAAGGGTTCAGACTGGGAAAAATTCAGAGCCTTCTTTCCAGGAAGGCTGTCCTCTAAATGTCAGCCATGCAGGCAGCAAAGGAAGGGGAACCCCAGGCTGAAGGGAGGTGCGCTCTCTCTGCACATGTTGGCCCACTGACTCAGGGCCGCACACCGGCACCTGCTTGGGACTCATTCCCCCTCCCCAACCCCACCCCTTCCGTGCCCCTGGGACCTTTCAGAAGGCAGGCAAGCCGCCCAACGACAGAGCCACCCCATGCCAAGGCGGGCGGCCCCTTCGGGACGCGTCACGGGGCCCTGCACACAAGCGCCAGGTACTCACTGGAGTGACGGGGGGCTGGACGGACATGGGTGGCGGCGGCGGCGGCGGCGGCGGCAGGGGCAGCGGCTGTGGGGTTGGCACAGAGGGGGGCTGTCCTGGGGTCTGAGGCTGTGGCGTCACCTGAGCCTGGGCGACGGCCGCTTGCCCCGAAGGTGTGCTTTGCACCGGCAAGGCACTCGGCACCGAGCCGGCCACAGGGGTGGGCGCTTGTCCAGAAGAGGAGATGGGCGTGGAGGGCTGGGCAGGCACCGCTGGCTGAGGAGGAGTAATTCCCGCCTGCGTCTGATGCTGGACCGACGGCACACCGGCCGGAGCCGACAGAGGAGGTGCAGGTTGATGAAGGGGCGGCTGAGTCGCAAGCGGGGGGCAAGAGAGCTGGCTGGTTTGTGATCCGAGGATATTCACCTGGTTGGCCACAGCTGCGCCCGACACCTGCCCCTGCTGGAACAAGAGGACATTGACACTGAATGTCCCTCAGCCATCGGACTCGCATGCCATTGTTTCTGCTCGGGAATTTTAAAACAGCCTTCTTGTTTGGCAGGTATGAACCTGTTCCAAAATCTGCCAAACCAGAAACATTACCTGGGCCGCAGACCCCCAAATACAGTAGGCAAAGAGGAGCATGAAGCAGAACCCATACACCCTGCCAACACAACTGCAATTTTTAAGGATATTGGGCAGCTTGGGAAGGGCTCTGGGAGCCATCCCGGACCAAGTTGAACAGCCACGGCCTTAACTGCTTCACTGCGCAGGACCAGGAATTGCCTCGGCCTGGCCAGCTGTCCGAAGAAGACAAGGCAGCCCCAAGAGACTACCTGGCAGCAGAGTATGAGTTGCTGTTGAGTACACAGAGGGAGGCAGCACAAGGGTTTGAATCAATCTGGCCAAAACATAGACAGCGACATGATGCCAAATCCAGACAAGATCCGCTACAGATGCCAGCTAAGAAGCCTCCGTTTTCTCTGGAGTCTTGACAGACCATACCTGCACCACTCCGGCCTGCGCTGCTGTTTGCCCCATGGCGATGCTGTTGACGTTCAGAACTCCACTGGCGGCTGAAAACTGATTCTGGGCAAGGAACTGGTTTTGAGTCGAGGCCTGACCCATCAGGTTGTTGGAATGAGCTCCCACCAAGTTCTGTGACGGAGGCACCCGCGAAGGAGACAGAGCCATCTAGCAGACAAAAGGATCATCCGTCAGCACCGGCCCTTTGGAGCAGGTTTTAGGTGCAAAACGTCCACAGGATGGAAGAATTTGCACTCTGCATCAGGATACGGCCCTCTCGCAGCACACACCGCTCCTCTCAGGGAGCCTGCAGCGGACTCTCAACAGATAAAGGCCCTTCCATGGATCGGAACCTAGTACATCCCTTCACAACCCTCCCTGTCCAGAGATCTCACCGTTTTCCTGTATTGTTACTATCCAGAAGATACTTTTTTTGAAATAAGAATTGCCCACGTGCATTACATTTGTTTTGTTATTTATTATGTTTTTACTCAATTCTCCCCAAAACAGACGGTGCTCAACAGACTTTACATAGCATTAAAAAAAGAATAAACAATGAAAATCTTCCCAATGATCAATAGACACTGAAGCAGTTTAAGAAGCCAAATTAAATAGATGCTTCTTTACATCCTTCTCCAGAACGCTGATCACCATTCTGAGGGTGGGGGGAATATATTCTGTCCTCTGGGAACAAAGCCCCCAAAAAAGCCCTCTTCGCCCTGAGCGTCCCTGCTCTCCCTGTATTCCTGAAGGGCTCCCTGCCTAGACAGGTTTGTAATGAGGCAAGCAGCTCTGTCTAGGGCTTTAAACATTAAAACCATCCCCTTGAATTGGGCTAGAAAGCCAATGGAAATCAAGGCAGGCCCTTTAGTACCAGAGGAATATATATACGTTACTGCCACATACCTGTCAGTAGTTTAGCCCCTGCAAGGCTGGGGCTACTAACACAACGCCTGGGCACTCTTACCAAGAGTTGCTCCCCATACAGCACACTGCACTCATCAAGGCGTGGCCTAACTAAGGTATGGATAGCTGGTGCCAAGTCAGTTCAACTCAGGACAGGTAACAGCTGGCTCACTCAGGGGGCCTGTGCAAAAATCCCGCTTTGCCACCGTTGTCGCCTAGGAGCCCAGGAACAGTTCATGCACCAGGAACACTCCCAGACTGAAACAGATCAAGGGCAAGTTTGCTTAATTATGGGCACCTTTGAGCAGCAGCGGGGGCAAACTCCTTTGATAAAGAAGCATTGACCACTTTTCTTGGCCGCAACATCAGTCCCACCTTGGCAGACTGATCCTGCAAGGCACTGAGCAAAAGTGTGACAGCCTTCATAGGACCTCCTATATCTTGTCCCCATTCTTCTCACGGGACACAAGCAGAGAAGATTCCCACGCATCCAGAGAAGCGCTCACCAAAGGTCTCCTGCCCTGCCCTGCCTTGCCTTGCCCTGTCACAGAGTCCAAGCCAAGCCAAACCCAGGCAGTTCTACGTACAATCTGCTCATTGCAAACCATCTACTCTGATGCTCTGGTGAAGGCGGCTGAGGACAACTAGTCTCTTCCAGGCAAAGTCAACAGGTAGCAAAGAGGTCTACGTTGGACTCTGAACAAGCGGGCACACGCCTGACACCCAGGCAGACCCTCAGTCCCTCTAGTCTGCAACAACAGCTCTGACGTGGCAGGACTGGCTCTCTCGGCGGTCAGGCTGGACTCTTCCTTTGCCGTATCTGGAAACCTCTGGTCTTCCCTCCCCAAAGAACTAACTCAGCTGCACTCCCTTAGCTTCCAAAGCCAGATGCAACCGGGAGGGTTCTGTTGAGATGGTGGTACAGAGTACAGTAATTCAGTTTACTGTCAATTCAAGCAAGCCAGTGCTAGTAAAGACACAAGGCAATGATCATCTGAATGTTTTTAAGTATTCTGAAGGCTGAGCTTTGAACAGCAAGAAGGAAAATGACAGTTACGAACCGTTGAAACGGAGCCCATGCTGTTCATCTGGACAGGATGGTTCATTGGTGAAGGCGATGTCTGAGGCATTTGGACACTCCCTACGGACACTCCTGCAAAATGTACCCCCAGAACAGCTCATTAGGCGCAGACCACCATCCGCTATGCTTCCACCAAACATCCTTGCCAAGTAAAGCTTCCACGAGCAACCACAAGTTACGACCGAACCAAGCCAGGAGGGACAGCGGTGTTGTTTTTAGTGAGGCCCGGGCAGCTGATTTGGTTCTTGATTCTCCACTATCCCCTGTGTCATGCCTTTTACTGCTACGAGAAAACCTTGCCTTTAACCGTGTGTTGTTGGGACCATCTTGGCCAGAAGAGAGAAGGAGCCAAGGAAAAGAAAGGGGGTCCCTCCAGCATGCTGGCCTCTGGGAAGAAGTCACCATGTGGGGCTGAGTCCCTGACCACTGAATGACTCCCGTGCATGCTTCCAAAGTGCTACAAAGCTATGCTCAAAGGTCCCTTCGCTGGTGCCAGGTGTGGGAAGCCCCAAAAGCAGAGGAAGGGGTTCCAAAATAAACACTACCTCACAAGCAGCTTTCAGAGGCTCTATGGGCCAAACGCCTGAACAGCTACAGTAGCCTCCAGGTGTGATGGGGGTGACTGATTAAACCCAAAGGCTGATGCCGCCAAATCTACATGCTCTCCATCCATTTACATGGGATGAAAGATTAAGGGAAAGCATGGCACAGGAAAAGGCTGGATCAGCTCCCATGTGCAATATATGACACTCAGAAAGGAAAAGGTGGGAAGGGGGGGGGAAGAGAACATGCAAGTCACATACCTTGAGAGACCTGCATGCGGCTCATAGGCACGTTTGGCACAGTCAGGGGCCCATCTGGAAGAGAAGGCAGGAAGGGCTGTCACTTTCACTGCTTCCAGTTCAAGCATCCTTACTGGAAAGGGGGGGCAGGGCATGCCAGTCAAACATCCTTTCGGACTTCAGACCAAGCCAATCTGACAAGCCAGGGCCAGCCCTGAGGAGCAAAGCCCTTCCACGGAAACAGTCCAATGCTGCTGTTGCTGCCCACTTTCCAGACAGCTGTATGCAAAGTTCCTGGTCTGTGGCCCATTCAGCGATGTCAATTGCAAGGGGTTTATTCCCTACAGACTGGACTCAAAGTGAGTTTGGGGGAATGACCTCCTGCTTTGCAAGAGAGAAGACGGGGCGGGGGGGGGGTCTGCCTCTCCTGAGAGTGTCTCAGCGCTCCTCAGCCACAGCCGCCTAGACTACTTCCTGCCGGTGCCCACCCTAGTACCTGGTGCTCCCCTGTGATTTAATGCTCACCCTGAGAAAAGGAAGGAGTGGTTCATCTTTTCACAGGCTGAGCTGCTTGTGCTGAAAGGATTCACACCCTCCCTAGAAGAGACAGCCAGGAAAGCATGCCTCCGCTTGGCACCGCTCTGATCATTCCGCACAGAAATTCCTGGGGTCTTCCTTCTCTGAGATGACTGGACTACAACCTCCACTCTCCCTCTGTCAGCACGGCCACTGAGAGGATGCTGGCTGTGTTAAGACAGTGATGCCTGAATAGGCTGCAGCTGCTTAAGTGTAGTTTTATAGGTAACATATGTTTCAGTAGAGATCTGTTGTCGTTATGTGCTTGGTTTTCAAGTGGGAGGCTATTATTTTGGACCTGGCTTGTTTGGTGGGTCATAAATTATGGGGGAAACTCAGAAAACTAAGAGCCTCCAACATGTCTGCTTCTCGTTCAATGAAGTACTTACTGGGAGGTCTCACCGGCTGCCCTTGTCCCATGGAGACAGTCACCTGTGGAAGGCCAGGAGGCTGAGACCCTGGGGTCTGTAAGGCTGGCTGATTACCCAGGATCCCTTGCTTATGCAGACGAGACCTTCGTTTTTCTTCCAACTCCTTTTGTATTTTATAGATTTTCTCTGCCAGTAAATGGTAATACTCATCCTAGACAGGGAAGAAAAGAAAAATGTTTTAGAAGGTGTTATGAAGAAAGGGGCACAGAGATTAACTAGCTCAGCACCCTATACTGAAGGTGGCGCAGAAACATCTCGGCAGACTTTGGTCCCCTAGCCGTGAGCCAGAGCCCATTTTTCCACAGACAAGGGAATGGGGGGGCAAGTTTTATGCCATTCCATACTGACTAAACAAAAATGGTAAGGGCTACAATATTTGAATGTAGGCACTCACTAAATCACAGATATACATCTTATGGACAAAACAGCTTCTGAGCACTTACTGGTACATGAAATAAAGGAGGCACAAAAGTAAAAAATACAGGAGCGGCACTATCATTTGAATGTGACTCCTCATGAGAAAGTAGAGCAGCCTGCAGTGGAGGACAAGACGACCCCTCAGGACAGGCATCTAGTATATGAGGAACCTGGCACAACCCAACGATCTACAAAGCCAAGCCTTTGTCCTATTTGCCCGACGTACCCTGCTGTTGGCTGATTCATACATATCTCCTTCTACTTTCCTTGCGTAAGCCACCAGATTTTCCATCCGGCGATCCTTCAGTGCTGCTGGATCAGGAGTTGGAAAGATGGCTTGCACGCTGTAGAAACAAGAGATTCATACTGCCCTATAAATCCTGCCAACTGACTGGATAGCACAGTGAGTTAAGTATGTGGCTATGGAGCCAGAGGCTGGGGGTTTGATCGCCTACTGTGCTCCTGAGAGTAAAGTCAACATGTGTGGCCTTGGGCAAAAGTTGTACAGTCCCAGGGCGCCCCAAGAAGAAGGGAGTGGGAAATAACTTCTGCGCATTCTCTTCCTGGAAACCCTGGAAAGGGTCACCAGAATCAGAACTGACTCTGACAAGACAGCACACTGCCACAACAATAACAAGTGATAAGAAGCCAACATAACTATTTTCTTTGTATTTTAAAAACACTTGCCCTCAAGACATCCTGAACACTCTTTTTCTATGCTCAGATTTACATGAGCGAAATCAATGGCCCCCATGGCTGATACTTACAGTTTGTGTACTAAGTGATTACGCAGGTCCTGAGTGACGTGCTCATGCCAGGTTTTCCTCACCCCGCTGCTTGAAGGCGGCGCAGCTGTTGGCATGGAGCCACTGAGATTTCCAACCGTGCCCGAATTTGTACCATCATTCATCAGGGGGCTAAAGAAAAGGCAAGGGAAAAGCTACTGTCCGGCCTAATTGTGCTCCAGGCCCTTTTCTAAGCATCCCTACTGATTGGCAGAAAGGTGAATAAAGCTGTCATGTAACTGACTACCTCGGGTCATGCACTGAAACTCTTGCTGGAGGAAAGAAGAAAAGAAGGCCAGGGGTTGTTGGGGAAGGAAGTGTCTTGCAGGCCAAGTCTTTCTACAGCTGGAAGGGGCAATGAGGTGAAATACTCCACCGCCTTTTAGGGGTGTCTTACTTTGCCGTCCCCAGCGACGTTGGAAGAACAGTTTCTGCGATCAGGCCAGGCTGCTGGTCTGTGATTCCTCCTGCCGCCAGGTTCATTGGATTGGGTCCTTTGGAACAAGAGTATCCCTTGTTAGTTCAGGGGAACCATCGGTCAACTGGCACGTGTCAACTTTAATATATGTACTCTAGAAAGCAGCAGGTACCCTTTGTAAATTAACCCACTCATTTTCCTGTAGTGCTTCGTGGCCACATGTTTGTTATAAACTCCAACGGAGGGGCTTCCCCACTGGGCTCTGGGGCCATGACACAGAGACAAAACTGCTCAATTGCTTCTCCTTAATACTAATAAGATGAACCAATTTTTAAAAGAGGATCAAAACATGAGATTTGAACCAAACTGACAGGCACATGTTCAATACAAGGAACTACAGAAGATCAAACACTATTTCCCAAGTGGGAAATAGCCCATTTGCCTTCCTTGGTCCAGTGTCCTTACTTATCCCTGCCCACCCTGCGCTGTACAGTGAAAACGACCTAAGCAAGCAAATGTAGGGATGGAAAACTTTCCAATGCTTTATTTTTCCATGGAAAAATTTCTACACCATGGATGTCTGCACACAGTTGTCCAGCCTGCTGCACTGCAATCAGAAATGTTAGATGGCCTAAATGCAGGGTGCAAATGTCTATAAGTTATTCTTCTAAGGCAAGCATGGACAACAGTGTTCAGCTGCCCATGGGAGATCCGAAAAATAAGGTGGGACAGACCCTTTGTGTGCTCAAGGCAACTGGCTCCTGACTGAGTCTGACCAGATGTACACACCAGGTCTCTAGGGTCCACTTGCTTCAATAAGAAACCAAACATGCTGAACCAGATAACAACATTTTGAGAACACTGGAAAATTTCCCAGTCCTATTTTTTCTACAAAACGTACACCACCGACTTGCATACGTCCTCTTGTTTCAGAGAAAGGCTGCCATTATCTCATTTGTTGGTCATTCCCTGTACTTTTCTTCTTCCCATGTTGCCAATATCTGACACGGTGGAGTCCTAAAGCCTCTTGCTGAAGACAGTTCAAGCGCACACGCACCTCAGTGCGCACAATCAGAAGCAAACCCCCTACCTACCCAATGCACCAATGCTCCTCATCTGCTGATGGGCCGGAGGCTGGGCCACCTGCTGGCCTGGGACCTGGGGCTGCAGCGGTGCCTGTGGCTGGTTGCCATAGGGGAGTCCCAGAGCCGCGTAGGCTCTCTGCATGGAGCTGGGGTCGATAGGGTTGGGGTTGCTCAGAGATGGAGTGGCTGGCTGGCCAGTGCTGGAAGCAATCGAGTTCTGGATTCCTCCAGCTGGGGATCCCAGGAGCGCTACCAAAAGGTGAAACATACAGAAACTCAATTTCTTCAGCATAGACCCAACACACACTTAAAATGCACATAAACAGCAACAAATTGCCACCCATTAAAAAGTTGCCACTTGCATCCTTCACTGAGCTTACTGGCAGCCTAACTAACCTCCAAGATTATGGCTCCTATCTAACATTGCGCAAGTCCTTAATATAAATGTGGTTTAATGGATTCTGGCCGATTTATTTAACCACAGCATGCGAATCAAAAGGATCAGAGAGGAAACCATGTGAAATGGCAACAATGGAAATTCTCCGGGTCAGAATACTGCCCAAAGCAGGTACTGGTGGAACACCACCTGCTACATTCTCTGTATATGAAACCCTTCAATCCAACCGACTACTTACGCTGCTGGTTCCTCTTGTCACTGGCATTTTTCAACGGGAGACACACAGGGCAATCATGCCGCGTACAGTTCTTCCAGTGGGATATGATCTGACGTGACGATGCGCAATGGGCAACTAGGGTCAGAAGAGAAGCCACAACCTAAGCCTTTGCAATACTGAGTAATTTTAGTTTTCTGTTTGCATCTCTATTTCCCTGAATGTTGCAAAGCTCACATCTGTGAAAAGGGTAACAAATGACAAAGTGAGTGGCATTCTGCCTTTGTATGGAGGGTCAAAGGTTTCACCTGCTACATTAAGCTAAGATGACCTGAATCACCATGCTTCTGATAAATCATCCCATGCCCAGAAGGCCACCTACCATAGCTAAGTATCAGAATTTATATAAGAGCAAGCTTTTCAAGTTATTTAATGGAGAAAACTGAAGAATGAAAAAAGCTTCCCTCTTGCAAGATCCTTCAACAAGAGTGCTCTGCGTCCCCCAAACAGTACATTGTGGAACAGCATAACTGGGACGTGGTGGTGGGAGACCCTTTGGCCTCCAGAGTCTCACCTCCACTCCCTGACTCATTCAGCCAGCAGGATTTGAGAAAGAAGGCAGAACTCCACCTCGGCACTGGAGGGTGAGACGTGCCACCCCGAGCGAGCAGGTCCCCCTTTCCAAGCCCTCCAGGTGCAGCCCACCAAGAAGAGTCCTGAGGTGGCCTGACCTTCCTAGAGGCAGCCTTCTCGTCAGTGCTCGTTCACACTGTGATGCCTGAGCGGCCTTTGAGGCCGTGAGAGCTTAAGACTTCACTGAAGAAGCCATACACAAGCCAACCATTAAAAGAATTGCCAGAAGGCCCCGATGACAAACCATCCCCTCGAGAACGGTCAGCTTGGCCTAGGGGAACGACTCCAGTTGGTTTAATTGCCAATGCCCAAATGCCAGTAAGCACTGGCCATGAGATCCGAATCTCCTACAGCTTCACACAAGCATTCTTTGAGATGAGTTTGTAGATGCATCACTCGTGTTCTTACCTTGGCAGGCTTTTCCAGCTTGACAATGGGTCATGTGATTCAAGACATTTTTCATGGTTCGGCAGTGGGGAAGAGCACAGGCGCGCACCTCTCCGTTGGCTTGCTCTCGCCTCTGACACTTGTGAGCATGAAGCAGCAGAACTAACTGCTGCTGAATAAGCTTGCGCTTCTCAGGATCAGCCGTCGGCCCCGTTGCCATCGTCTGCGTGGGGACAATCCCCACCTGCTGTACCTGGGTTTGCATTTGAGACTAGAAACAAAACATTGCGGTGTTACATGAAACAGAAGGCTTGATTTTGAAACATCCCTTAAAGTATAAACTAGAACAGCTTACACTGAAATCTCTCTGCTGTGACAAGCTGTTGATAGGATGCCCATGCCCTTTAGAGTCTGTTTAACTTTTCATGGTCTTTCATATTCACCTCAGATTTATCAGCCTAAAAACTAGGTTTTTTAAAAAAATCATTTTTCATTTCTGCTACACAAGGCATTCTAGAAAGACAAAGCTGCAACCACGCGGATCCCAGCAAACAGAGACCCTAAAGTGAACAAGAACAGCTACTCCAGATCTCTGTGAAGATTCTCAGTCCTCCAGGGGAGATTCTCTGGAAGTTGAGTCATGGCCGCTGGACTTCTTTCTTATTAGGCTGAAACGTTTCACTCCTCCTCCAAGTAGCTTCTTCTTCTACCAAAACTCCTCAGACTGAAGAAGCTACTTGGAAAGCGGAGCGTTTCAGCCTAATAAGAAAAAAGTCCAATTGCTGTAGCTCCACTTTCCTGCTCCGGCCATATGAGAAGACCACTAACATTCCTACTGTTTTCAACTTGTCTTCCAAGGCCACTTTCTCCCACTAATCTGGGAAGCATGTGTCAAATGAAAGCATGTCAAGAGATAGAGAGAAGTGAGCAGTAGGCAACTCACCATCGTTGGCACGCTGGTAACTGAAACACTCTTGATGTCGGAGGGGAAGGGAGACACGCTGTTAGCCATGCCTGACTTATTTGGTAGTGGAGGATTGACTGCGGTGGCTCCCATCTGCTGCCCGCCAGCCTGACTAAATGGTTGGTTAAAGGGACCTGGGTTACTGGCCATTCCCATCTGGAATGAAAGCAAGATGGTGTCTACTAGCATTTTGCAGCCAGAAAAATGCAGGTACAGACATTGGGAAACAAGGCCATATTTTCTGAGATTCTGGTAAAGAAGTATGATCGGTTGATCAAATCACCTGCCCCTCAGGTGAGCTTTCCCTGAATCTTTGACGTACCTTCAAACACTACATTTGTACTCCTGTAAAACTGAATTTTGCCAGTCAAACTGGAGGAAGACTTCTTACATACATATAGTCAAAGAGAAAGCTACAGGCCTTTTAGATTTCAGTCCTTCCTCAGGGTACAGGTAGCATCTTTCGGGATGACAGAAGAAGAAAATTCTTCAACACAGTAATGTATTTTATCCTTTCGCCCCAGTAATCAAATTCTAACATGTTGTTTTCTGATTATGAATATGTCACCAAAAGTAATTGATGCAAACATTTGAAGAAGAAAAAAATACTGGTGGATCTCTACTGCTGGGAGCATGAAAACATGAAACTGATGAAGTGATTTGATGTGAACTAGGCAGACAATGCTTATGGCAAGGATTCCTGGGGATTCATTAGTAAAAAGCGGTAACCTCTTTTGCATAACTAAAAGAGCTCCGTGCTTACAGTTTTCAAAGCTGTAAGCTTGGAGCTCCTGCATTTAACCCACATGCCAGAGAGCCGCCCACTCCTGAAACTGGGGAGTCTTCCAGAGTCATTCATGGTCACATCAAACACCCAAGCGTTCAGTTCCAACTGAAGCAACTGGAGACCAAGCCTCAGAAAAGCAGTACGTAACATGTAAAGAGAAGAATATTATTAAACACAAGAATCTTAAACTTCCTAGAATTTCTTATGATTCATACACCATTTATGTTTTTTCTCCAAGTTTCTAGCTTTAGTTATCTGTATTTGAAACAGTGATTTTCTTACTTTTAACTCTGTCATATTCCAGAGTCCATGGTTTCTTGCCAAAAGGTCTCTTCTTAAGAGACAAACTGTGGAGTAAGAAGAGGACTTGAAACACAGTTTCTGTCTCAGTCCACTCAAATATCAATCCAGTTGTGGGCTACCTTGTCTGCCTAAAATAAGATTTTAATTACTTGACGGGAACCCATGACCCATTACAGTGGACCCTCGACTTACAGACGGCTCGACTGACAGACTTTTCGAGTTACAGGCTTCTCTGCCTGCAAAATTTAGATTCGACTTGCAGCTGGAGAATCGACTTACAGACCAGAAAAAAACCAAAATGGAACATAAATAGAATAAAAACTGCCAGTTATGGGATTAATCGGTTTTCAATGCATTGTCGGTCAATGGAGATTCGACCTACAGACTTTTCGACTTGCAGCCACCGTTCCAATACGGATTAATTCCGTAAGTAGAGGGTCCACTGTAATGGGACCCAGCTTAATGATCCAATGATCCAAACATCACACACACTTGGATTCCTATGGAGATGAAAGCTAAAGAACAAGTTGCCAAACAAGAGTGGCTTTAAAAGGAGGCCATCTTCCAGGAACAGAGATGGCAAAGGGACTCCCTCAACCACAGCGACTCATGCCTAGCATGTGTCAGAAGCGGCATTCACTTTTGTAGGCTAATTATCGGCTACCACCAAACATGGTCCCAACCAACTCTGTGTCTAGCTGGCAAGGGCAGTAAGAAGGATTTGTGGAAGGGAAGGCTGTCTGTGGTCACATCAGGGAGACTCTGATAGACAATCTCCTAGTGCAGAAATTGGGTGCCCCTCAATACTAGCTGGTGAAGAACCAGAGTGGGAATTGGCCACCTGACCTCACGTCACCACCTGCGTGGAGGCTTCGCATGAGCATCGGACTGGTGACTGCGAAGAGAGCATGCTGGACTATAAAGCCCCTTCTTTCCCATCTTTCTTACACACGCTCTAGCCTAACCTTGCAGGAACAGCCACAGAAAGCCGCCTTCCTTCTCTCTCTCTCTCTCTCTCTCTCTCTCTCTCTCTCTCTCTCTCTCTCTTTTTTTGGGGGGGGACACAGTATTGTCCACCAAGGACCAAACTGTCTCCTTTGTGACCAGCAGTGGCCCTGCCACCTAACTTTTATTTTTAACCTAGGGCCATTTGGGGCCCATCATGAAGCCTGCTGGACTCATACAGAAGTGGTCGGGATAGCGCTATATCAACACTACATCAACACATCACTGCATCATGCCACAGCTGTAAAGCAAAAGAAAGGCCGCTGTGATTTTCTATTCCTTTGGCCTGCTCTCTCCCCCGCTTCCTCCAGCCTAACAAGCCCAGGAGCCTGTTTGCCGTGGGGTCCTTCCATCCACTCTCACAGGAACTCACAGGCAGGACATGAGGAGGGTAAGAACTCTTGCCCAACTGCCCTTCCTCCTAACAATGGCTACAGGAACAGAGAGATGAAGGCAGCCCTGGCAGAGGAGGCAACGCAGAGCTCTCAGGATCCTGCACTACCCTGCCTCCATTGGAAAGCAGTCCACGTTGGTAGATGCCACCACCTTTTGTGTCTGTGGATGCCACAATTTTGACACACATCTTCTGTTCTCTGTCCTGTTATCTCTTCCCACTCACTTTTAAGGGACAAGTCCACTAGGTACCAGTATCACAAGAAAGAGAGAGTAGAAGATACTTCCCTCCCTCTACTCCCTATCGCAAATACTTTTGGGACAACAGCTCCTTCTGCTAGCTGTCTGTCATGCACCCTCTCCCTTCCTCCCGCAAAGCAGTCAAGAGTCCATCAACAACAGTTTTAAGCAGACTGCCATCTTTTGCCACCCGCTGTATCCCATTTCCAGAAGGCATAGCCTGCATCTGGAATGTTTCAATGCAGCCAAGATAGGCATCCAGATCAAATGAAAGACAAGCGACTGCATGATCACTTGAGCCAGGTGACTTGGGTTGCTTGGAGAGGGAAGGGAACTGCTTGGGAGAGGAAGCCACAGTGGCTACCTTGGGAGATGGACATAAGGCATCGCTGTGGCTCACAGCAGGCAGCATCCCCCAAGTACTTCAAGGCAATGACTTTGTAAAATATTTGAGTTAATATGCCACTTGTTCCATGACAATTATTTGGAGCCATTTTTATTAAATATAACCTGTCATCTATTTGTCCAGCTTTAAACAGTACTTTGTGCATTCCCAGTTAAAGAGGACACGGGTCCCAGAATGCTTAGTTCACTTCATCACTTTGCCAGCCTTAGTTTGACGAAATCAAAGAACAAAAAAATGTGCTTGCGCCTGGAAATGCAAAACTTTTGTGCTCATCATGCATTGGTCCAAGTAACAGGCACTCTGTTCAGCTTCCAGTGCAATCGTGTGCCAGTTCAAGGGTCTGCTGGCTGGTGGAACAGCCCTGCCTTTACGCTTCCTAAGCCCCCAGGGGATGCTAGCTAATATGGGCCATACTGAGCTCCACGGTCCAGGGGAGTTGGAAGACCACTTCCTGTGCCCCTTTGCTGCTACACATACAAACACACCTTGGTAGAGAAAAAGATCACTACAAAGCAGCTCTGTCTTTAACAGAGATTGAATTTCTTACATCAGTGGAGACTCAAGTGCATTGTTTCATTTTTTGAAAACAAAAAACAAGGACAAGTCTTAACCATTGCAATCAGAAATATTTTCTGCTTAAGAATCACATAAAAAGTGAATGGTGAGGCAAATGCTGATTTTTTTTTTTTTTTTTTGCTCTGGCATGGTACACTTATGGCAGCCCTCACAGAACCAGATTTGGCCACGGGGAGCCAAAGTCTAACCCTACATTTAGCAACCGTTTTCACTTCTACCTTGTCAGGAACTTGTCCGTCTGAAAACTACTAGGGGGGAGAGGAGAGGACAGAGCGGGTGCTAAAAGATGAAAGCGGCCTCATTCTTCTATTTTCCTCCACAAAGCCTAAAGTATTTCATGGGTGACCGAGAGGAATACATGGGCACGAGGAGGCACATTTCCTCCCTCTACCTTCTGTGACCAACTCCCTCCTTTAACGTATTCTTCTAAATGTTTGGGGTAGAAAGAAACTATGATCATATGGTCATAAAAATGATCACCCATAAAAATGATCTCAAGTCAGGAACCCTTAATGAAAATAGCCTGCCACTGGACAAAAAAACTACTTCTACACGGAAAGCATCAGTCCAGTATCTGCCCAAAGGCTGTCAACCCCTCCAGCACACCTCATGCTCTGTTTTCCCTCTGAAGGTTAAAACTCCACATATTCCACATGGAAGCCAAAAGACAAGGCACCCACAGAGCACTAAAAGGATACACATGTACCCTCTGACCAGACCGAGGATGAAGGCAGTGTGGATCTGGTGTCATATGCAACCCTCTAGCCATTCCTCAGCCTTCTGGCCCCTTTTTTCCAGCTCAAAAGGTGCCGTTCATAACAACTACTTCTTTTACTTTGGTTACAGGAGCTCCCCTACGTTGTTTTAACAACAAACAACAGTATATATGAAATTTCAACCACCTGCAGTTCTGCTTTTTGCATTTTTGATGGCAGGCTATGTGACTGCAGGGGCAGAATATCAGCCCCCTAAACTGCCCGTCCCTCCCGAAAAGCATATGACACTGGAAAACCCCACTGCCTCCTTTGTGGCTAACCCCAAAATCTCTCCACTGATGCACCTTCTGAGGATCACTCCGTACTACAAGCATCTCAGATTTGCGAACAGATATTCAACCGTGTCACATTTCTATACCTTGACTTTCCAGAAAGTTGGCAAGGCAGCAGATTTGATTGGGTTTCCAAGTTTTAAAACCAGTCTTTGTTTGAAATGCACACTTCCCACATCCTAATCCATGTCAAGAAATCAAGACACTTGTAGTCCCTCTGCATCCCCATGCAACTTTCAGTGGGTGCCAAGGCTGTTGTCTCCCACGGTAGCCATGTCCTTCCCAGAACTGCTCAGGAAAGTGCCTCCAGTCAGAGCCCACTTTGCCCTGCAGGTGTCTGATACCTGCTCCATTAGCTCTGCTAATTCTCTAGGCTTCCAGGCAAGTTCACCCTTCATCCTTACTGGAGACACTGGGAAGGGATTTTCAACACAAACACAGCATCCAGTCTAACACTGAACTACAGCCCTTCTGTTCACATGGAACAGCAGCACTTGCCCATGATCTTTGAAGGGATATGTGGCCACCTTAAGTAGTCAATACCAAATTTTACACCCATTTACCCTTTTATATCATCCGTGCTGGCAGCCAGCCATTCCGCTTGCAGCAATGAGTTGCATAGTTTAAGCAACTTTACAAAGAAACACTTTCTTTTATCTGTTCTGAATCTCAAGACATAATTCTTTGGTGGTCTGAAAAACTTTGATCCCTGGGGAAATCTGCTGTACTACGTTCACTCAACCAGGCTGTCGTGATTGCCTTCTCTTCAAACAGGTCTCTTCACAACTGCCGGCAGCAGAATTTAAGTTCCACAGCAAGCCCTTCGTTGGTAAATCTCTTTAAAGAAAATAGCTAGCAACACACTGTTAAGACTTAACTGCAAAGATCTAAAATGATTCTTCTACTAAGTACCACAACAGGTGACAATAACATCTCAAAAAGAACTGGACCCATGTGTTACAACAGTTAGCAACTGTTACTTATTGAAAAAGAAGGTTCTTTACTGTGATCAAAAACCCCCACGTGTTTACATTTTATACTATTTAAGTTTTCAAGAAAGGCTAATCCCAAACTTGCACTCTGCATTAGATGCCAAGAGTGCCGACCAGCTCACTCTGCTATGGTGCAAACACTGTCGCTCAAAAGAAATTCCAATGAGCGTATTTGGAACAGGTTACTCAAAGACATGAAAACGCAAAAACACTCCAGTTTCTCATCCTTCTCATCTCATGCTTAAGAAAACCACAAACATTCCCCGTCACCACAACCCAAGTGGCCAACCACGTACTTTTGCCATAGCTCCTGCCTGGGTTGTACTCAGGCCTGCGTGACCTGTCATTTGAGGGGACACCTGTGTCAGGGTCTCTGCCAGCACATTGTTCGCATTTCCTTGCACGCTGGGGGTCGAATACTGCATTCCGGCACCTCGTCCTCTCCCGGCTGCCCCAAGAGAGCCATTCATTACCTGACCTTGTCCTGGCTGGGCCTGATTGATCAAGCTGTGGCCAGAGTTACTACTGAGGAGCCCAGGGTGAGCCTGGCTGAAGCCAGTGTTCATACACATCCCAGTGCTCGTCTGGGACGCGGCTGGACTGCTTGTCACCATCCCCACAGTTTTTTGTGCTTGAGTGTTCAGGGTTTGGGTGGCTGGGGCGCTGGGCCCAGGCGTGCTGGCGGCCTGTTTGGCCAGGCTGGAGACCACGGAGTCCCCCTGGCTCAAAGGACTCTTTCCCATCAAGCCTAGGCTGCCAATATTTGCGCCGCTCGGCTGCCCCTGGACTTGGCTGTTGACACCTTGTGGGACGGGGCTACTGCTGGAGTTGATGCTCCCAATTCCTGGGTTGAGAGAAGAGCTGCTGCCGCCCCTCAGAAGCTCAGAAAGCTGCTTGTGTTTGGAAGCAGCATCTGGAACAAGGGCCGGGCTGCTGTTTAAAAGATTCAGGTCTCCATTAGGAATCAGTTCATCCGGAAGATCATTTTCCAAGTCAAAGAAAGTCCCAAAATCTGCAAAATTTAAGAGAGTTTGGTGTAAGACACAAAAGGAAGAACAATCATGCCTGGATCCAGCTGCTTTGAAACTACTAGTTGGGAGCAGCACTACTAACCAACTCCCTCACTGGATCACAGCCTCCTCTCTCACGGGGCGGGGGAGGGGGGCAGGAGCTACCAAGGAATCCTAGAAGCTCCTTCTTACCTCCTCCTGGGGGGGGGCCCTGCCACCACCCCCACCCCGGTGGCACCAAGAAGAGCTGGCCTTCTGCACTGTCCCAGGGCCTGCCTCCCCGGCTCCTTCCCGATGGGCCTGACCCGGTGGGTGGCAGGCCCCTGTCGGCTGGCTTCCCTCAGGGGACCCGCTCGCCCATCCGCTCGGGGTCTCTCCCGGCCCTGGGCTCGCCTGAAACACGTTCCCAGCGCCGGAGGGGCGACACCGAGCCTTTCCCCCCTCCATCCCCTCCATCCTCCGACGCCGCGCAAGCGGACCTTCTGGCCGCCACCGTCCTGCCCGAGCCTCCTTCCCTCCCTCCCTCCCTCCCCAGCTCCGCCGGGAAGGCCAGGCCGCCGCCTCCTCCTCCTCCTCCTCCTGGCCAGCACTGAGCATACACACGCCCCCTTTGAGCCCTCTTCCTTCGTCTCACCTGCTGGTGGAAGAGATCTTCCTCCCCAAGCTCAGCGTCCTCTTCCTCCTCGTTCTCCTGCAGCACACTAGAAGAGGCTGCAGCGGTGGTGGCCACCTGGGTTAGGGTCCGCACAGCCACTTCCTAGAAGGAAGGGAAAGAGGCGGGGGTCGGGCGGCGTCTGACAGGCCGGCCGGGCTCGGCTCCTCACCTGTGGTGTCGGGGGCGGAGAAGCCGGGCGAGTTGAGCTTGGCCCGCTTGGCGTTGGGCGGCCCGTCCAGCAAGTTCTCCGCCATGGCCGCCTCGGCCTCTCCTAACAATCTCTTTTAAATGCTTCCCCCCAAAGAGGTGCTGTATAAAGATTGCCATAGCAACCCAATGTCTTACCCTAAAATACTGTTAAAGCTTACACCAGCCTTCAAAAGACACAGTCTAAAGGGCTATAATGGTGGACCAATAATCTATTAAAACTGATTTAATATCTATTTTAACTGCAAAACATTGTATTTAAAAGAATAATCCAGGTGTTGTCTCTCCAACAGATATTTCCGATCAAAGCAATGTACTGAAATGCAAATTACACACGGTACTAGAAACACTCATAAACAGAAGGAAGATGCAGTGACGAAGCAGTTATTTTTGTAAAACTGAAAGGAGTCTTACTCTTTGTTGTCCTTCATACCAATCATCTTCATCAAACCAATACGAAATACAGGACATCCAAGCCATAAAGTAAAATGATGAATTAATAACTAAGCACCTAAATAATGTTAAGGCAATATGTATTCTGTTTGAAAATTTACTGAGACTACACAGAGATGAGCCCTAGACAGTGTGAAATCAGCTGCTCTATAACAGCAAGTCATACGACAAGATGGCGGCTGTTGATTCCTCAATTAAAAAAAAAGTTTTTTTTCTCTTCTCTTTTCCAGAGACGGAGGGGCGGGGGAGGGCGGGGCCTGCGCGATGGCGTCACCACGCACGACGCCGAGGTGCGTCCTTCTCACGACGCGGGGGACTTGCGGGGAGCAGAGGGAACCCGCCGGCCGAGCGAGCGAGCCCGGGACTGGCGAGCAGCGCGCCCCCCACCCCCCACCCCCGAGGGCCGCCGGGCAAGCGAGGGGCCTCGGGGGTCACCCAAGGGAGGCAGGCAGGCAGGCAGGCCGACGGGCAGGGACCAGGGGCGGCCTGGATCAGCATCAGGATAGGCCGATAGTAGGGGAACGTGTTCTGCCGGTGGGTTTTCGGCCTCCCACTCCCATCAGCCGCAGCCCGCCCCACTCCCACTGTTGGGGGATTATGGAGGTTGCAGTCCAAGCCCCTTTCCCTTCCCCCCCCCGAAATGAGGAGAGCCAACCTTCTCCAAAGAGCCAAGGCTGCCCCTCAGTCCTGCCCCCCCCCCGGGGCGATCAGCGGGAGGGGTAAACTGGTTGAAGCTTTAAAAGTTGGACATCCGGGGGGGGGTGGCCCTTTTTGCCCACGTGGTGGCGCTGCGAGCTAAACCGCAGAAGCCTCTGGGCTGCAGGGTCAGAAGACCAAGCAGTCGTAAGATCGAATCCACGCGACGGAGTGAGCGCCCCTCGCTTATCCCAGCTCCCGCCAACCTAGCGGTTCGAATGCATGCAAATGCAAGTAGATCAATAGGAACCACCTCGGTGGGAAGGTAAACAGCGTTCCGTGTCTAAATCACACTGGCCATGTGACCACGGAAAGATTGTCTTCGGACAAAAACGCTGGCTCTATGGCTTGGAAACGGGGATGAGCACCGCTCCCTAGAGTCGAACACGACTGGACAAAAATTGTCAAGGGGAACCTTTACCTTTACCTCGCACACGCACACACGAGCTGCTTCCTCTTAGCCTGGTAGTGGATCCTGCCCTGTGCAAAAACCGTGTTTTGATCTCTTGCATGTGAAGGGGGGGAGCACGAAGGAGAGGACCGGCGGGACGCGATTGGGGTTGTTCATTGGACGTTTCTTTACTGTTTTTAACTCATGGTTGGAAAACATTTCAAGATCTTACTATGTAAGGACTGGAGAAACGAAATGTCTTCTTTTTAAACCCACGCTGGATTCAATCTTACTCCTACACTGCATACACGTGTACGTTTATCCTTTTACCACCAAGTCCAGCCTGGCATGTAAAGGCTTTCTTCCTCCATAGATGACATTTTAAAAGGAAATGTTCCTAATATTAGTTCAGTGAAACGGTGTTAGTGCTCCCTTCTTGTTTTGCTGGACATTTTTAATAATAACAACAATCATAACTTTACAGCCACATCTTCCCTCTCTTGGCAGCTGGTCTTAGGCTAAATTGTCGCCGACCAATATTGTGTGCGGGAGGGAGGGTGATGGTGCGCAGCCTTTTTCCTGCTTTGTCAGGTCTTCCGCTGGATGAGACATGCCAGACAAGGCATGCAAGGGGGGGCCGGTTGTGTGCAGTCGGGTAGCGACACCTGGACGCAACTTCTGTTCCCAAATCCCTCCGGAGGCCCCCCCACACACACACACACTTGAAGGACAACTTTCACCATCTCCCCCCCCCCATCAGATTGGGGAAATGGCCTCTGCCCGGCAGGGACAGCCAGCTTTAGCTGTGGGAATGTGTTCCCTGGCAAAGGGGTCAGAGTCGATGATCTTCATTATTATTATTATTTATTGTATTTATACCCCGCCTATCTAGTCATTTCGACCACTCTAGGCAGCTTACAACTTAAAGGATAACAAATTCAAGAAAAATTTATAACAATTAATTGATTAAATGATTAAATGATTTTACAAGATGGGAAAAATACAAAATAAATGAAATAAAGAGAAAAAGAATAAAAAAGGAAAGAGGACAGGAATTAACTGGAAGGGAAGGCCTGCCTATACATCCACGTTTTTAGTTGGTTCTTAAAAGTACCCAGCGAGGGTGCAGCGCGAATCTCCGGAGGCAGGTTGTTCCAGAGGCCAGGAGCCACCGCCGAGAAGGCCCGGTTTCTAGTTCTTTCCTTCCGGGCCTCCCTCGGCGTCAGGCTCCTCAGCCTCACCTCCTGACTAAATCGGGTGACCCGGGTAGAGCTAGTTGGGATCCTTTCACGTTTACAAACGGATGCTGTGGTGTCTGAGTTACCACCACGATTGCCTTCTGTTTCTGCTTAATTTTGGATTTAACAACCCCCATGATAACTCGAGAGGAGCGCCACGCTGAAGGCACACCCTAGACTGGACTGGAGGGTGCTGAAGGGTCCCGCCCGGTGCTTCCCATGCTTTTCTATTTGGGAGGAAGGTGGTGGCGCCTCCCGGGGCTCCCTTTGGGGAAGAAACAGCCTCAGGGCGCCCTCAGCGGCGGCGGCGGCGGGGGGGGGTCCCTTT